ATTCTTAGTAAAAACTGTTGAACAAGATAGTTTTACGTCAGATCGACGAAAAATCTAGAGAATACGCTTAAAGAGGAGGAACATTTTAAACATAAACATGCACTTACCATTCCCTTATACTATAGGGAATTAGGAAACATCTAAATATTTGTGAATCAAAAAATGGGGGAAAGAAGAAGATTTTCTCCTCTTACAAATATTTAGAACCATCTAAAACTGTTCTTGGTTTTAGACATTTTAATTTCCATAAGCAAATCTCAAAATTTTAATAAAAAAATATCAATTTGTAGTATTAAAATTGTGACATTTTTGTAAAAATTTCAAAAGTATGATATTTTTGTAAAATGATATTTGAAAAATAGTATTTTTTGAAATTTTTCAAAAATAATATATGTAGACTTTATCCAAACTTTAATTACAGTATAGTGTTTATTTCGTGACGGGGACATATAATTATTACAAATGGGAAGCATGAGAGAATTTATAAAAATCCTTTTCCTCTTATTTTAAGTTTTCAAAATCATTTTGGTTCTTTTGTCTTCTTCATGCAGTGATAAAGAGTTAAGAAAATCGAAAATCAATCTTTTAATCCAAATTTTCGCGCTCCAGTCCCGTCGTCGTCTTCGCTTCACTTCCCGGAGCTCCGGGACTTGGCCGGAGAAGATGAGGAGCTTGTTGTTGTGTATTACGGTGGTCGTATCCTCGCTGTGTTCAGTCGCGGAGGCGGTGGTTCGGAGCGGATCTAGCGACGGATTTAGGGAACCGAGAGATACCGAGACTGCGATATCGTTACTGGAGAAGAAATTGGTGGCCTCGGAGGTTCCCATGGTGCCTCTTACCTTGATTCAAGGAGCTGACTCCAAAGGAGCTGGTACGTACCTTTTGATTTTGGGTCTCTTTTGTTGGAATCTGAAACTATGGAATTTGATTTTGTCTGTCGCTCGATTGAGTTTCAGTATATCTGACTCTTCGACTTTGTGCTCTAAGATTTCATCAATTTATTGTCATTGATTGATGTAAAGGTTTAGTCTCTTCTTTGGGTTACTTGAATCTTTGATGATACTTTCTAAAATTGCTGCAGTGTGCTTAGATGGTACTTTACCTGGTTATCATCTAGATCGTGGGTTTGGATCAGGTGCTAACAGTTGGCTTATCCAACTTGAGGTATGTGCATTTTGAGCTTAGATTCTTGCTTATTTTAGTATACAATGGAAGTTTCTGCTATTGAGGCCTCTGACTTGGAACTCAATGGTTGGTTTTAAGGGTGGAGGATGGTGTTATAACCATAGGAGCTGTGTGTATCGCAAAACAAGTCGGCGTGGTTCCTCTGATTTTATGGAAAAAGCTTTGGCCTTTACTGGAATATTGAGCAATAAACCTCAAGAGAATCCTGGTTTGTCCTCGATATTGTCATGAGTTTTGTTCATGTTGTTATAGATGCACATTATTGTATTGATTCTGTTTTCTGTTTCTGGCTTGTAGACTTCTTTAATTGGAATAGGATCAAGCTGCGTTACTGCGATGGTGCGTCTTTCGCTGGGGATAGTCAAGACGAGGTTAGTCAGAAACGAGAGTATTTTGTGTGTTGCGTATTCTATGAATTCTAGGCTTTTACTGGCTTCTTTCTCTTGAACCCTGATTTTGTCTTATAATTTGTTACGCTGGCTTGTATGTAGAGTTCGCAACTTTTCTATCGTGGACAAAGAATTTGGCAAGTGGCTATGGAAACATTCCTGTCTTTAGGCATGCTGCAAGCAAATCAGGTCTTTGCATTTCATTGAACCTAGCAGGTTATTGTGTTCTGGTTTATGATCTATTTATCGTCTTATCTAAATCATTTGCAATGGATATTCATCACAGGCTCTGCTTTCTGGATGTTCAGCCGGAGGATTAGCTTCCATCTTGCACTGTGATGAGTTCAGAGAACTACTACCCAGTTCTACAAAAGTAAAATGCTTAAGTGACGCTGGAATGTTCCTGGACGCGTAAATCTCTTGAACTTGCCTTCTCTGTTAGAAGAAGTATTTTTTCTACAGAAATAATTTCAAACCTGAAATGTTCTAATGGATAATGCAGAGTGGATGTCGCTGGGGGCCACTCGATTAGGAATATGTTCCAAGGTGTTGTTACATTGCAGGTAAACTGAGATTCAAAACTGTGATGACATGGGCATGAATAAAGTGCATACAACTTATCTACTTTTCTCTGTTAATTTATAGAACCTCCAAAAGGACTTGTCCAGTACTTGTACAAACCATTTGGATCCTACTTCGGTATATCTCTTTCACACTATTCATATCACTGTTTTATTAGCCTTGTTTCCAGTAGACAAGACTTGACATTATCCTTTGTGCCCTTTCTCTTTTCTTCAGTGCTTCTTTCCTCAGAACTTGGTTTCAGACATCAAAACCCCAATGTTTCTTCTCAACACAGCATACGACTCGTGGCAGGTAATAGAATCTTGTCTTTACTCTAGCTCATTGCTTCATTCTTCCACAGTGTTTTGTTCTTGAGAAAACATATCTATGAACTTTCTCTGTCAGATCCAACAAAGCTTAGCTCCTCCAACTGCTGACCCAGGCGGCATCTGGAATGCATGCAAATCAGATCACTCGCATTGTAATTCATCACAGATCCAATTCTTGCAAGGTGAAAATTTCTAGTTCACGTTTGTTAGTTATGGCTACTCTCTCTACTCTAGGCCGAGTCTGCACAATGTTGATGGTTTCTATGCCCTTTTTTTCTTACACCAAATAGAATTCAGGAATCAGATGGTGTTAGCCGTAAACTCATTCTCAACAAATGACCAGAACGGTCTTTTCATAAACTCTTGCTTTGCGCATTGTCAGACTGAAAGACAGGACACTTGGTTTGCTCAAGATTCTCCCCAACTATACGGAAAGGTAGCATCACCCCTCGAAAATCCGTTTGCGCGGTTTCTATCTCATTGTTAGCAATCACAAGTTTGTTAAAACTCTGCTCATAACTATTGTTTTATCAGAGAGTCGCAGAGTCTGTAGGTGACTGGTACTTCGACCGAACAAATGATGTCAAAAACATTGACTGTCCTTACCCATGCGACACAACATGTCACAATCTGATTTTCGAGTGAGTAAATCTTTGAAACCTTAA